TTTATAAAAACAAATTATAAAGCCGATATGGTCATATGGCACGCAACTATGGTATGGTTATTCAACGTTTCTAAAAAAAGTGCTAAGGGGTATTGTTTAAGGCTCCCTGGTACATCAGAAATGCTGATATTAATCGCGATCTAAAGGTAAATACAGTAGCCGAAGAAATAAGATCTCAGGCAGAGGCCCACTACAAAGGACTTAATGAGTTGAATAGTTGTATTGGTATTAAATATTGTTATTGTTTAAAAAAATAGGAAGTGGATTTTCAGAGTTAGAAGTCTAATAAATTAAATGTATTGTTATAAATACAAATTTTATTTTTCACACATTTCACCAACACTCACCGTTTCTTTTTATACCGGGATGTAATTTCAGCGATTGTACAATAAGTATATATCTAACTTTATTTCGTAAGGTGACTCTTTGCCGCATAATAAGTTTAAAATAAAGGTAATAAAAAATAATTCGAATAATCTGGATCAACGTGAAGGCGTAACGATGCGTCCGTACTCATTGTTGAATCGAAAGAGAGGGAACTGGATCCTCCGTCGATCTCTTTTGCTACTTTTGGTGTGGTGTACCGTGTGATGTCCTCCTGAGTGGTGTGATCGTGGGGTTGTTGTATTTGTGTGCATGTTAGTGCGTGGTGTAGTAATGTGGAATGTAAGTCGATGTAGCGAATGAGGTGTGGCAGTGTTTTACGGTAGGGGGTACTAAGACTCATTTAGCCATCCCGGCCACCTAGGAGAATGATCAGCTTATGAGTCGCTTAACCCTTATGTTAGTACACCTCGGTGTATTTTAAGCTCTCAAATCGTCGTTTTTAATTAGAATAGAAAGCTATTTGTGAGTTCATTTAATTGATTTTTTTTTTTATTTGTTTTTAAATAAGCTTAAACTCTAGTCATCGCCCTATTAGCAACCACAGTGTAAAGCATAGGAAAAAAATTGTATACAATTTCTATTAATACATGCAACTAAATTTTATTAAAAAAATAAAGAAATATTACACTTTTTTTATAAATAATGACATTGAACACATTGGACACGATTAACTGAGTGCTCGTCACACACAGGTTGGTGACAATTGGCACAGGCCTTACGTGTCTTTCGCCGTCTACTTATTGGCAAAGCATTGCAGACATGACAAGATCCTGTTACTTTTTTCCTTCCGGTTTTATCTTTTGGAGTCTCTGGACCAGGATTTATCACGACTGTTTCCGTCAGTATATGACCTAATACACTTTCAATGGCAATCTTTGTTGAGAAGTGGCGCATTACTTGTGGATTCGACGTGCGATGTTCAATCATCGGCAATGCTAGTTCTTCACTTAGTTTACGCATAAATTGACGACGTACTGTCATTTTTTTGACAATAGTTTTATTATTTTCATAATAAATTATATATGCCGCAAGTGAAGAAATATCTAGCATGTTGAAGAACATTGCCATTGGCCATCTCGAAGATCGTCGTTGACTGGTGTATCTCCGCACCATTTGGTCCATTGTGTCAACTCCAGCTTTATATTTATTATAAAAATTTATTATTTCTGATTTTCGTTTAGCGTCATCATCAACGGATATATCTGAATGCATTGTAGATATTAGAATGACAGCTTTATTTTTTTTAGGAAAGTAGGAACAAATGGTAACCTTTTCGTGAAATCCAAAAACTGTCGAATACTGCTCCCGTGTCTTATTCGCTCCCATAACACTAGGGATGTAAGGTTTATTCTTTTTTAGTGTACCAACAATGGTAATATTCCACGACAACAAATGTTTAGCAACTGGTACAGTAGTAAAGAAGTTTCTACCACTACCTCGGTACGGAGCCTTTAATTCTTTTACTACTCTTTCACCCTGATTTTTTTCTCGAGTATTATCTGTTTTACCAGTGTACATAATCCCTTGCAAAGGATATGCGTTTTCTGCATCACAAATCCACCAGATCTTTATACCATACTTAGCTGGAATATATTGAGTAAATCCAGTACGGCCACGGTATGGGTAAAGCTGTTCATCAATGGTCAAGTTAGGTGTTGGTTTGTACATCTGAGCTAAATTTGAATTCAACATTGTCCACACATCACGAATTGGAGCTGCCTTGTCTTCTTTTTTACGTTCACTTTGAGTATTACCATCGTCGAATCGCAAAAAATAGGAATCGGAGTGCCACATGTCAAATATATGACCTGTATTCGAATTATTTGCTCCAGTACAAATCAAGATACCGAAGAACGAATAAATTGCGGGTATCGTAATGGGCTTCCATTGATGATGTGAGTTTGGATTATAGCATTGTACTCTTGGAAAATGGTTTCAGCTTTTTTATTAGTGTGACGGACGATTATATCAACCATTTCGTAGGTAAAATTTGTTTTGAAAGTCTCGCTAATTGACAACGTTTCCGTACTGCGATTAGGCCCACTCCGCTGGCGTACAACATTATGAGCTGCGGTCTAATGCTGAGTTGGTGGAGTTTTGTTCCACACTTTTTTATCTTTGGCAATAAAACTCCCAGATCGTACTCTCTTCCTAAAATAATAATAACAACATTAATTAATTATTTAAGAAAAAGAATTATTATTTCAATCATTGCTAAGAACAAATATTTTACTACCTTCAGGCTGTTTCTACTTCATTGTCATCATCCTCACTCTCGCTACTCTCAACTTCTTCTTCTACTGCTGAAATTCTCTTCAGCGATTTATTCTGTATCTTCAGAATCTTCTGGTTCGTCACGCACTAAATTACCTTGTTGATTTTGACGTCTAGCTCTATTTGCTGGAATCCAGTGTTCGTCATCGCTATCAGAAACCCTACTCGAATCACTGTCGTGTTCTCCAATATACGTAGTCAATAATTATAATTATATTATACAAAATTGTAATTAAAATATATGTAATGTTTACTTAGTCAGCTCTCGATAATTGTTCCATAGCTTTATTTTTCCCTGTCAAGAGAACACCAAATGAGGCACGTCTGATCCCACCCTAAATCTGTTACATACTAAAAAATGCTCGAATCTAGTGCGCGATAGAAAACAAAGAAATAACCTTTAGTTTTTCTTTCTCATTCGAACAGCATCTGCTCGGCTCCGAACAATAAAAGCCGGCCGACTACCTGGGGTGTCCCAAATAGGTTTCAGATGTCATTCACGATTCTACGTTGTTATTTTTTTCTTTAAATTGTCACTGACTAATAATATTTGAAGAAAAAAGGGAGGTTGAAATCGTGAATTTTTCATATCGATTTAATAAGGATAGCCACATCACGCCTGGCTTAGGTATGGCCAGAATAGGTGCTCCTTTGAGTAAGTTCCTTGGAGTTAGATCTGTGAAATCTGAGGGATATCGCGAGTGTTTTGAGTGGCCGCGAATTGAGAACGGCATCCACTCGAATCAGTAATCTGTTCATAATTAAATTTATTGTTTTCCATCTATTTTTTGAAGTGGGATTTAAAACTTTTTACAGCCGGGGGGATAAATTGCCAATTAATGTTTTGGGGAGCATACTTTTGTCTAATCTCAGGTGAAACTTCTTTGGTAAAGTCCACACTTTGTTTTTCGGTGACTCTTTGAGCTCCGCCAAAGGGTTTGTCATTGTAAAATCTCATTTGTCACATTCGTACATTACAAATATAAGCACATAGGAGTTCATTGGGATGGGAGACCTTAGCATGGACACCTTTATCTGAAAATGCACAGCAAAATCGACCCAAAATAAATTTAGTGTATGAAATGTCTTTATGGCTTTTTTGTTTTGTAGCACTTAGCTTCGACTGGTACGGTGTGTTAAAAAAGTATCGCGAAGTGTTTATTTATTCGTTAATATCTATTTTATCCCTCTAAAGTAATCACCCCTACATATTACTTATAATACTTATACTAGCAAAGCACTTATCTTGTTCAGCTCCTCCTCCGACTGAAACACACACAGCCTCTGTTGGCCATCATTCTCGATAGGGCATTATAGATTTTATTTGTTTTACCAGAAGTATACGCCATCCCAGATACCACAGCTGCAGCTGTGAAGTAATCTCGCATTTCCTTATGATGAGTGATATCCTCTCTTCCATTTTCCTGGTGCTTATGAGCAAGACTTCCTCCATCGTACATCAGGTTCCATAGTAGTGGGCCTAAAACTGAGCCCTGCGGTACTCCACGCGAGACAGTGTTACTCTGAGTGCCCTCGTCCGTGTTGAATAACACTATCTTATTTTCGAAATAGCTTGTTATAATATTTATAACATAATGGGGAGCGCGTATTTCGTACAGGGCTTTGATTGTATTTGCCCAATTTTCTGAGTTGAACGCATTCTTCACATATTTATAAAACCGTATTGTCTTTCCGATAATCCGCCAGCTTTTTGGATTGCTAACTCCAAACGGTTTCATACTATGCTTTCGTACACTTTACCAATCGTGTCAAGCATACATAAGGGTCGATATGATGAAGATCCTTCAGTTGGTTTTTTTGGTTTTGAGAATAGAACCAAACGCTGGTTCGATGAACACCTCTTCTGTTATACACGCGTTGTACATTTTAACGAACAAACTGCGTCTTAAAGACATATAAAGGCTATACAAGCATTGTATGAGTGACGCTTCGTGTTTTTTGCATAATTTTTATACTTTGTTTCCCTAAGGATATCCGCATACGACGCTCTGTCCTTTTTTGTTGAGATAATATCGTCTAGTTTCGATTTAATTTTCTTCTCGATCGGCTTACTTCTTTTAACATGTCCATCCATTTCTCGCCTGCGGGCTTATTTCCAGAGCTGTCTGTTTCTAAATAATTTTCGTATCCCCACTATATGTTGTCTGCGCTTTATCATTCCCGCTTTTAGGCTTTTTCGCTTGTGGTAAATAGCTTGACGTCTCACGTAGTCTCTTTAGTATATTAATATCTTTGTGAATAAGGGATAGTTGCGACGCTTACCCTACCATAACTCTTTTCGAAAGGTTATCAGGCTTTTCTGCCCTGTCATACAAGCTAGTTATGCACCTTACAAGATCGCGCATGGCTTGGTTTATATGTCTCTGTCCAGACATCATGTTTTCTAGCTCTTTAATTATTTTTCCCAGTTTGCAAAAAATATTGACGATACGTTTTGGATTCACTGTCATTTGAGGAAATTTAGAATTTTATTTATATTATACAAATTTGCGGTGGAAAAGGGGTGCAGGTAAGTGCAAATGAATTTTTTGTATAAATCAGATTGTACTTATCTTATTGTCTAGGTTTAGTATCCAATTATATGGTCCAGTCTCCCGCTAAGTTTCTAACATCATTTTATTGCTGCCGCTGTAGAAAGCTAAGAGATAAGCGAGTATTTCAAGAGCTCACAGAAACACTACTACTTCACTCTAACACTTAAACTAAGCCTTTTGGTGCGAGGTGTAAAGATGTGACATGTGGTACGCTTTGAAGCAGACCTGGTTACATACCCATGTTATGCGTCACTGGACCATATGAAAAGTTGTGCATTGTTCTACCTAATTTTAATCATAGATCTTAACTCATTCGTTGAATTTTTTTCAGAAAATGAGACACGTTATTTTCATACATTTTTATTTCGTGGATTTAGATAAGTATACAATATACATATTTTGTATATTATTATGGAAAATTGTATAACTGTCCCCTAGAAAATATGATAACATTTCAAAACTAGAGGCGAAATTAAACGATATGAATCGAGAATGTTAAGTCAGATTCCTTTGATTTATACCTTAAAAGGAATGTATATTTTGAAGGTCTATTTCAAATATTTAGTTCAAATAATTTAATTTAGTATATCAAAACTTGTATAATAAAAAATAATAAACAAATAGGGAAGTTCAAAGTTGTAACCAGGCAATAACCAGCAAGGCTCAAAGCCCGGGATATTACTTCAGGTGTTGTTACAGAGTATAATAGTTTTGTTCACCTAACGGTTGTTTGTATCACCTATAACTAATCGAGTTAGATATAGGTCTATAGATATATAAATGATCAGGATGAAGAGACGAATTGAAATCTGGGTGACTGTCTGTCCTTCCGTCTGTGCAAGCTGTACCTTGAGTAAAAATTGAGATATCTTTATGAAACCTGGTAGACATGTTTTTTGGTACCGAAGGACGGTTGGTATGGCAAATGGACGTAATCAGACCACTGCCACGCCTACAAAACGCCATTAATAAAAAATAAATAAATTACCATAACTAAGCTCCACAACAAGACACTTTTAAAGTGGGCGTGGTCCCTCCCCCTAATAAGTTTAATGTGCATATCTCCTTTACCACTGAAGCTATAATAACAAAACTCACTGGAAACAAATTCTTTTAGCATCTCTATCGACGGTGTTGAAATGGGTGAAATCGGGTGACAACCCCGCCCACTCTCCATATAACGGTACTGTTAAAAACTACTGAAAGCGCGATAAATCAAGCACTAAACAAACCAGAGACATTAAATTTTATCTCTGGGATGGTATAGGATGAGTTTATAGGAACCACGTTTAAAATTAGATAGTGGGCGTGGCACCGCCCACTTTTAGGTGAAAACCCATACCTTGGGATCTGCTTAACCGATTTCAACCAATTATGGTACATAATGTTCTTCTTATATTACATATCTATGTTATAGTACGAAAATGGGCGAAATCGGATTACAACCACGCCTTTTTCCCATATAACATCATTTTAAATTCCATTCTGATTTTTTCACTTTCCGGTACGCAAATCAAGCAACAATGATTATATCGGCGTAAAACTTTGCATGAATAATACATTTAAAGTGTGCCACCTTTTGACCAAAAATTATATAAATTGAACCAAAAGTTTTCAAGCCCCTAGGTACTGAGTATGTGGACCCCAGTGCCTATAGTTGACTTTTTACAGAAAATATCGATCAACAAGAAGAAGGCGGCAAGATCCACAAAGAAATCTAAAACGAGAATACTATTTGACTTTGCGAGAGTATAAAATGTTCGGTTACATCCGAACTTACCCCTTCCTTACTTGTTATCTGTAGATATAACATAAGAGGCGATTTTAATTTTATATCACAATTTGTACAATATTTTTATGTTGGTACTAGTGCTTAGATAAGATAAGCAACTTAATATGAATTTTCTGGCTTGACGACTTATTATTATGTGATACTTGTATATATGTTATTTTTATTGGCGGTTATTCATTATTTCTTTATTATTGGCTTAGAGGATGGCGACTCCACGCCTGGCTCAGATATGGCCAGAATGGGTGCTCCTTTCAAACCTTTGAAGAGGGATCTTGCGAGAGTGAGATTTGCAACTTTCACAAGTGTTTCCTATAAACTCTTATGATGAGCGCTTAGATAGATCCGATAAGTGCGACTTTTGCTTTTTGTAAGTCTGGGTGCGTCACTGTATCACATTGGAAGTATGGTGATCCCTTAATTTTAATTTTGAATTGTATTTGATTATGAAAATTTAGGTAACTATGAGGGACTGTAGTGGGAAGTGTCGATTTTTGGACTTTCTAGGACAATTACTCATATGTTGCGGACGATATTATGTATGGAAGTGAGAGATTGTGGCCAAGAATCGGTAGATTCGGATATCGTTAAGATTGTTTGAGAATTGTGACCATATTTATAAGTGAATAGGAATTAAGATTTTCGCTTGTATCATAATTGGCGAAAGCCATCCTACAGCGTCGAAATTGTTATTGCGGATAATGCGGATATTGGCTCAGTGAGATATGAAAACTGATCAGATATCGCATTCCATTGGATCCGCTATATTTTTGTTGTACTGCCCTTTTCGGCTTTTAGGAAATTAAAGTACAACAAATTTTCTTTTGGAATATTTTGTAATATATTTGGATCATTTGATTGAATAATATATCTTTGTGTTTTTAATACTGGGGATGTCAGAAGAAGCTCTGACTTGGTGTTTTGTGCCAATTTGTGGAGTGTTGGAAAGTTGTTGCTTTAGTGGTAGTCGTACGGCTTTGTGGAAGTCTTCACAATACTGATCTTCTGGGGATGTATTTGATATGACGGGGCATTTTTCTAACTCCCGAAATTTCTTTAATTGACAATTAAGGGATTCTTTTGAACCTTCGTCAACTTGAGTTGTTGATGTGGAAACTGGTTATGTAACTAGTTCACATAAAATTCAACCGAATATAGTATTTTATGAAAGAGGTGTGTTTGAAATTTTCTCGATACCTTCGAGTATTATCTGTGGTATGAGATCGCTGTCTAATAGATAATCTATTTGAGCGGGAGTGTTGCAGTTGGGATCTGCTAACTTTAGGCGTGAAACCTTGCTATTTATGTGATAGCTTGGAAGCATATTTGTTAGTTGCGGTAAGACAATAGCTTCTGGTTAAATGCGCTTATTCGCTTTGGGGAAAATTAGGGTAATGGGGCAGATTTTATTTGAGTTTGGGATTACTCTTCCGCCCATTCCCGTGATTTCTAAATTGGCTAGTTTTGTTGACAGTTGTAGCCTATTTTGTGCCCTAGACGCTATAAATGATCGTTTTGATCCTTGGTCTATTAAGGCCCCAAGCGTAAACAGTTCTCCTCGGTGTTCGATGGCGACAACTGCTGTGGGTAGTAGTACTCTGCTTTGATTTTCACTGTGTAGCTTTTGGGTTTTTAATGTCTTTGAGCAGCATGGTGCTTCTTGGCAAATTTCGGGATTTCGCACTCCGGGATTTGCTGTTGCAACTAAACCAGTGGCTCTTTTCATATTTGCGCTGTTTGGGGGTGAGCTGGAAAAAGTGTTATAATGAAGCATAGAATGATGTCGTTTATGACAATAAGCGCAATTAAATTTGCTTTCGCACTCTTTAAGTGTATGCGCATGTGACAGGCAGTTTGTACAAAGTCTTTCTGTTCTTACAAAATTGTTTCGATCGGTAATATTAATTTTTTTGAATTTTTCGCAGGATTTGAGCTTATGCCCCCCTGTACATACAAGTAGTTCGCATGACGTTTGTTTGTACTGTTTGGGTGTGAATGTTTGATTTCTGAAGAAGCTTCTATTTAAGTTGTTGTTGCTACAGGCTTGGGCTTCTATGTAGGTCGTGTTGAACGCTTTTCTTTCTGACCATTATTATTTATCTTTTCTGCGATTTCGTATTGGGTTATTAAAAAGTCATTCATCTGTTGCCACGTTAGGCATTTTATTTCGAGATGAGATTGCTCCCACAAAAGTAACGCTTTTTCTGGTAAACCGGCGGTGCATATATTTACCAGTATTGGGTCCCAGCTGTCTGTGGGAATATTTTGTGTCGATAGAACCGACAAGCAATTAGAAACTGTGGATTGCAAATCGAGTGCAGTATCGTGGTTATCTGTCACTCTCAGAAATGAATTTGGTGGCACAAATATCTTTGCCTTTTATTTGCATTGTGGCAACGTGTCTTGCGCGTGTTGCTTCTGCAGGTGTAATTTGATTTTTGTCGTTATTAACCATTTTGTTATGTTATCTATTATTATATGTGTCAAAGTTGATTAAAATTTTTCTCAGTGTAAACTTATTAAAACGCAGTGATAAATGATAATTAATACAGAATACTCTTTTACGTTTATAAGAGCTTTTTTTAGGATTAGATAAATATTTACTTGCGAAATAAATTTTTTAATTTGTATTTTATTTTGAATATATTGTTGTGAGTGCATTTTTAATTTTCCTAATTTAATTATTAAGAACTTTTAATTTAACAATAATTTTTATGTCCTAATGTTGATGTATTTAGGACCACCCTAATACACGGACTTGTGTGTATATATTATGTGCTCGTGCAATTGAGGGAAGAGATATATCGATGAAGAGATCAATGCGCTTTATACATATATAAGTATGCAAAAATTATGTGAGCATGCATATGCTTTTATATTTTGTATGCAATCCTGCTTGCTTGTGTTTTAACAAAAACAAGGGGTATGACTTACATATGTTATTGTTAGAAAAAAAAATTTTTTTATTTATTATTATTATTTTTTCTTTTAAGAGATTTGTTTTTTTGTTTGCGTTTTAATAAAAAATAAAACTTTTTAGTGAATGTTTAAAATTGACAAGCAGTTTCTATGCCTTATGATTATATATATTATAATATGCGTACAGATGTTCGCAAAACGAAGAGAGCGCGAAGCGAAACTAGCGGGTACTTATGCAATTATGTTTATATGTTATTATACTTATGTTAAAGTTAGTATAGATTTAATAGGTATGCATATACGAGTATGTATGTTTGATTTGTTTTTTTTCTCTCTTTGTTTTTTCTTTTATATTTTTGATTTGGTCTTTTGCTTAGGTATTTTATGCAATCCCGCTAATTGTTTTGTTAAACATAAAGGAATTTGCTAAAAAATGTGGTCAAGTATATGTATACTTAAAAAAAATTTTTTTTTATTATGTTTGTTAAATAATTCGTGTGTTTGGATACACAAGAGTAAGCATTTTTTCTTCTGTATATGGAAATATTTATATACATATAAGTATATTATATATTGTATAATTTTTGATGTAAATAGTGTACCAAATTGTTTTCGGGTTTTCCGTAAATTTACCGAAAACTTATAACAGTCTGGTAACCGTTTTATAATGTTAGTAAAACGGATTTTGAATTACGTATTATATTCATATGTGCATAGATTTTAATAAATTAAGACAAAAAGGAACGGCTACGCTCACTTTGTTTTTAGTCAAGGGGCGTTTATGGAGGATG